CATCTGAGAAACAGTTGTAGTCAATCAAAGTCAAGATCGCCATCATAGCAAGTCAACCTTAACTAACACAATCATGGTTTTAACTCTGTTACTGTTGCAAATATTGAGCTAAATTCAGTTTGGTAGCTGAGAGTCATTCTCGACACACACTCATAGCACGAACATATCGTGTGTGATTTCACAGAACAAACGACTGTAAAACAAACATCAGAATATGTTCACAGATCTTATGACCAAGTGAAATCTAACTCAAAAATCACTTTCATTCATCAAAACAAAGAGCCAAAACAATGATTCGTCATCATCCTGTCATCTGTTAAACAGCCTGAACAAGTCAAGCAATAACACTTTTTAACTCCTGATCATTTTTGTGGCTAAAATATTGTTTAATAACCTATATTGTATATATTGTGATGAAAGAGGAAACTGTTCAAATTGATTTTAGCAATTTTGTTTTGATTAGTCAGGCAGTGGGACTTAAAAATCATTATTTGTCCAACCATATGTTGTATTGTAAATAAGCCCATCTTGACAAAAGTGTTCTAGATCATGTATTTAGATCTAAAGAGAGTAAAATAGTAATTTAGAGATGCCTGCCTGATCCCAGAAATAACAAGATTGCTGTTCTGTTTGTTGGAGAAAAGAAGCCCCTGACAGATTCAGCTACCACTTGAAGCCATGTTTGACATAAGAGAGAGAAGATTATTTAAAATCAAACCTGGCAGTAGTGAATTTCACCATTAGGGAATATAGTGTCATATTTGCCATGTTATGGTGTTTTGAGCAAAAGCCACTTGTAAAAATCACCAAGCAAAAGAATAAATGTAACTTTTGACTCAGCTGGATAAGAGACTGTGGAGTAAATTGTAAAAAAAAAAAAAAAAAAAACTTGCTATGTGACATTGTGATGTCAGGTATGTGACTGTGACAAACTGAATGCATAAAAGTCAAGATGCCATGACTGGCAGATTTATTCTTGTACCGTCTGGTAACGTCATCAGTGTGACGCAAATGTGAAGACGGTTAAAAAGTAAAACGAAATATTGTCAAGAGATTGATGACATCAGGGGATTAGGCTGTTGTTCAACAGATGTTATTAAATATGCGGTATGTTATGCTGAGAGCAGAGGAAACTTTGCTTTTACATGCAGCGTTTGGGTGGAAATAGCCTGTTAATGAACAGACAGCAGGGAGAGAAAAATATGGACGGCGGCGGAGGAGATACACGGAGCATGCGGTGAGGTAAAATATTGCTATTGTTAGGCAGCGCTGAAGGAAAAGTGCTGCGATGCAGAAAGAGTGGAAAGTCCTGACAGCTTTCCGGTGGCAGTCTGACGGCTGAGCAGGGAGGTTGGAGGAAAGTGCAGCAGAGGGCTGCTGTCAGGCCACACCAGAGCTCCGTTTAACAAGGTCCAGAGATGAGCTGCACCACAACACATTGCAAGGGAATGAGAGGGGGCCATGCGGGGATGTAGGAAGAGATGAGTAAGGCTCATGCATTTTTCCACACACTCACCACCTGTCATGCTTGCAACCCAGAATTTCCTACATGTGTATGGGAGCAGAAATTGGAAATCTTCTGTAAGGACAGCTGCTGAAGAGGATTTGGAGATTTGGAGGGTGTCTGTCATTATATGATGATACCAGACACCTTTATCTCTACACAAAGAATGCAACAGTAGATAACCTTCATTTTTCACTCAGTGTAATGTCAGCAGAGATTCTTCGTGTATGGTTACCCAGCTCATTTCAAATTAGCTGTGTTTAGAAAGCCCATCTGAGCTGTAACAGAGGACATGCAGATATGTTTGCAAATGGCCTTTCATCATAAAAAAAAGAAGAATGCCTTTAGGGTAAACGCATGTACAAGTCTCGCTCCGAGTGCCACAACACGTCTCATAGATCCAGAATTCATGCTGCTTTTGGAAATTGGAAATCTGTTTTATTTATTTATTTTTGCCTTAGCCAACCAGTAATGTAGCAGTGCACAATAATATCCTTTCAGGGTCTTGTGAAAAACATTGTCAGGATTTGTACAGAAGTTGATGAAATGCAGTATATCAAGAGTACTTTTGTGGTATGGGAACCAGTGACCCCTGCAACCCAGAACAAAAGAAGCAAGTAGATATTAAATGGATAGATGGATGGCTGAGGGAGTTATGGAGTCATAAATTTGATAATTTACACAAGCAATATCTATCAGAAGCAGTCTTTCAGGATGTGATAATCCTAGCAAGTTAAAACGTAGGCAGCATTTGTTTTCCTGGGAAAAGAGTAAAACGTTTTCAAGAATACTAACAGTTCAACTTGCTGTGCTTCTCATAAAACCTAAAGTTGAACTCGTGACTGAACAAAAGTCTTTACATTTTTAATGTTGCCTACAATGAATGTAGAATTCAGACAATACAAGTGGCTTTACACATTTTAAACCAATATACAGAAAATGATTCATGATGTTGCCACTGATGCAAAAACAGCTTTACATGTAAGGAATAATAATGAGTATTTCAGAATCAGAATAAGCTTTATTATAATTGTACTGAAGTACAGTAAGATTATGTTTGTACAGTCGTCCAAAAGATTGGCAGTGTGCACGTTGCTGCCGCTCCTAAGAGCACAGCCCCTTATTCTTTAGATAGAAAAGGGGAAAAAGCCGTGAGGAGAGGATAGTGGTATTACAAAAAATATCCCTTCACACCTTGTCCTTGTCAGGACATGATTTAAAATGTCAACAAGACTCTACCAGCAAGCACATTTATAATAGTTTACATATGTGTTTGACGGCAAGATGGTGAGATTTGTTCATGGAGCACTTCCAGATAGCACCGTAGTCCTGATGAGATGTTTGTGTCAGCCGGTACTGCTCTGATAAGCATTCACAGAAGTTTGTGGGTGTGTGTGTGTGATAGACAGATCTTTCTTACGCTACACATATCCCAGGAGAAATTTAATAAGTCCGCCTGCTTCGAGGCCGAACGGGGACGTCTGATTCAGATAAGCCACAGTTGTTGATTTTTTTCAGGCAGACTGTTTTTTCTCGTCAGCCTTGAGTTCTGCTGGTAATTTTGATGATCCAAAATGGCCAGATTTGTGGGCATTCCACTGGTCCATGCTTATTAACCCCCCTCCAAGGTCGTTCCCAACATGCTGGCGAGTCCCAGAAGCCACAAGCGGCCTGCAATTCTCACAAATTGCTTCCATCTTATGGTTTAGTTCGTAAATCAGCTGATTTTGAGCGCACGAAGCATGAACCAAACCTTCACACAGGGTCAGCAGCTTTGCCATGGCCAAGACTGCTGCTGCGGTCTTCTTTAATAGCCAATAACATAGGTATCCACTGGTGCCAAAAAGCAGAAACCCTGCTATCATGATTCCAATAATATAAACATCTTCGGCATCCTCCTGAGACAATACGCAAAGGCACATCAGCTTCCAAACCCCCCACGGATCCATGACATACCCTGGCATGAGGGTTCTCCAGGACCCTGTTGCTTGGTTGAAAAAAAATTATCGATTGCGCTGAAAGTCCATCTGAACAGATCCATGACAGTAGTTTACGATTTGGAAGATGTGTAAATAGAAGCTCCGATACACAGACAGAGAGTAAAAAAGCAGGAGGAGGATGGGAGAGGAAAGGAAAGCATCCATCTTGCTCGAGAGCTAAACTGTATTTGAATGCTTTGCATAAAATTGGATTAATGTCTCAGTGGGATTAACCTGTATAAATAAAGGTTGAATGAATAAGCAAAAAAAAAACCACTTAAAAAAAATTGATCATAGGTTGAAGAGTTTGGATGAACTGTCACTACGATTAGCACATTAGTTTTTGAACTGTGGCCACGGATGGAAAACTTCTATGCTAGTTTAAACATTTTAAATGTATTTTTCTGGTTTCCATCTCGTTCTCTTGAAATTGTGGAGCTCAAATGAGCTATGGGTTTGATTGAATACTGCAATGCATGCTCATTTCATAAAAGCTTTCCAGTTGCAATGTAGCCCCCAAGCTAACCTAGCTTTATTGGCCTAGTTGATTAAATTAGAAAGATAATTAATAAAACAAAAGTCAGACTATGTTAATTATGATGCAGGACTAATGATTAATATAAACTTGTCAGAATTGTTTAAGGTCATAAATCAAATAAGATGTTGGGTCTTTTTTTTCCCCCCTCTTTTTGGACTCAAAGGGACTGCACATTTTTTAATTTGCAAATATAAGAAGCTTCAGTGTATTATTAAACTTTACAGTTGGCGAAGCCATCCTTTTTATGCAAATCATTTTAAAGGCAAGTTTGACCAACATGTATAATCTTTTCTCCTATTGCTTTTTGAAGCTTCCTTAGATATGTTAGGTCAAATGTGATTTTACCCAGACATTAAAACATGCGAACATTATGATGTAAAAAAAAAAAAAAAAAAAGACTGAACAAAAATCTTTAGTTTTAGTTTTATAGTTTTACTGTGAAAACTGCACCAGATTACCTTTTTGTTCTGAACCAGTAATCCTGTTGCTTGGCATTATCTCCCACCATGAGGTTCAATGTCGACTTCAAGAGCAATGAAACACCATTACTTATGTTTTCTTTATTAGATCAAGTTAATTCCATGTAAAAAAAAATAAAAAATAATAATAATAAAATAACCACCCACCTAATTGAAATGTGTCAGCAACAGTTAGGACCCCCGTTGTTTAAGATCCAAATAACATCATATCTAAAATGTGCTCCAAATGACTATTGTTTAAATGGATTACATTTTCAGTTTTTACATGCTGAACCTGCAGTCTTGCAGTGAAATGTTCTGGTTCTTGTTTTGTAATGCTTTATGCTGTCAACTATTTGAAATGCTTCAAATTACATGCTTTTCATCTTTTGAAAGATTTGTTTTATGCTTATTTTGCTCTGACCAAGATGCAGCTTTTAATTTTTTACATACTTTTGTAATGTTTAGTATTCAAATACATAATTAACTGATCTTTGTCTTTTTTGTGTGTGTTTCCGTAGGGGGGCGACTCCTTTTCCTGGTGATGTGGTTGAATCTATTCCCTCACACTGACAGCTGCCCAGCCAAGTGTGTGTGCTACAGCGAGCCCAGGCCCACAGTAGCTTGCCAACAACAAGAACTGTCTTTCATCCCAACTGATATCCCAGTTCGGAGTCAACGGATATTCCTTCAGAGTAACAACCTGACCTTGGTGAGGTCCACAAGTTTCAGCTCCTGCCGCAATCTTACAGTTCTTTGGCTCTACTCTAACAACATAAGCTACATTGAAGCTCGAGCCTTTTACGGCTTGGACAAACTGGAGGAATTGGACATTGGAGACAACAGCAACCTCCGCACCATTAACCCAACAGCATTTCGAGGCTTAACAAAGCTGCACACTCTTCGACTTCACAGGTGTGGCCTGTCAGAGCTTCCTGAGGGGATATTCAGAGGAATGTTTTCACTGCAACATCTTTACCTGCAGGACAATAACATCCTAACGCTGCATAATGATACATTTCTGGACCTTGCAAACCTCACTTATCTCTACCTGTACAATAATAAGATCAAGATGATAACCAACAACATGTTTCGAGGCTTAATCAACCTGGATCGACTGTTGCTACACCAGAACCGAGTTGTCTACGTGCAACCCAGAGCTTTCACTGATCTTGGCAAGCTAAAATCCTTGTTCTTGTTTTTCAACAACCTTACAGTCTTGACAGGGGAAACTATGGACCCACTAGTTTCCCTCCAGTATTTGCGCTTAAATGGGAATCAGTGGATCTGTGACTGCCGTGCAAGGACCTTATGGGAATGGTTCAAACGTTTTAAAGGTTCCAGCTCTGAGTTGGAGTGCAACGTCCCTGAGTTCTTGGCTGGAAGAGACTTGAAACGACTTAAGAGTGAAGACATGGAGGGTTGTGTGGAAACATCACCGATCCAGACCAACCTTTACAGCTCCAAAACCCAATCAGGAAAATTCCTTTCTACTGAAAGCCCTCTGGGTAATACCATTCCCATGTGTTGTTTTCGAGATAACGACAAGTCATCTATTCTTTCTGGAAAAAGTCGCCAAATCACTAACAATCCCCTTAAAGAAAAGGAGAACATGTCGAATACTAAATTCAAACAGCAAGAAAGAACAAAGAACGAGACTCAGATTAAGCAGAATGATAGTCCGCTGGGGACCTTGTCCAATAATCTGGGCAAGACTTTGCAAAACCTAAACCCTGATTTTATAGAGAATCCTGAATCATCTACAGCATCAAACAAAAAGACAAAAAAATGTTTCAAAAAGCCCAAATCAGACACCCACTGCATCAAAGGCCAAGGCTCTACTTTGCAAATTCTACACATTCTCATCATTCCCATGACCTGGATATCTCTAGCCATGTCTTAGGACTCCTGACAACACTTCGCACAAAGAACTCAAGAATGTTGAAGCTAATGACAATGATACAGAAGATCCAGTGATATCCACAACAGGCCATGACTGAAAACGAGGAGTCATGTTGATCCAACCTTGCTGGAGACAAACGATGATGGAAATGTAGGAGTACAATAAACTAAATGGATGCCTTTACAGAACACTACAAATCCAGTGTAAATATTGAATCAGTGCCCAAAATTGTGTGTTCTCTATGTACTCAGATGTACTGTGTTGAAGCCACACTTTGGAGACTCCTCCCTTTTCGTTCTCGGAAACTTTTACTGCTTAGACAGACCACTGGAAGAAGAAAAAAGCACAGACAAAAACACAACCTGAGAGAAACGATACAAGAAAAATAAGAGACAGAATGCACACAAAGAATGTTTTGGTCTGTTTTATGAAGAAAACCAATGTCTCCTTGTCAATTATTCAAAGACATGCATTTGTTGGGTACTGTTCTGTTTATTTTGCTTTATTTTCATGTTTATAAAAACAAATGTTTTGCCTCCCTGAATTTTAGTTCTATTTTCATGACAGAGAGGATATATGGGCAGCGTTTACAAAAAAGAAAAGCAAAAAGAAATGCTGTCATTTTGTTCATGGAGATTGCAATGGAACCATAGATATGCATTTTATTTTACTTGTGTACAAGTATGAATATATTATAAATAAAAGTTCTTATTTCATATATCTTGTCTGTTTGTTGTGATAATTCTTAGAAACTACTAACACTTATTTTACCCTCTATACTGATGACTTGCAGCTTTTTTTTCTATTTACCATACCATACCATACCATACCATACCATACCATACCATACCATACCACTTTATTTATAAAACACTTAAAACAGCAACAAGGCCAACCAAAGTGCTGTACAGACAAAACAACAGGTAACACACCAAGCAAAATACAAAATGAGGTAAATCAGAATTTAGACAAAAATGATGCAGATAATGACGACAAACCAGTGTGGAGCATACAGGATCAAAACACAGATCATATGGTGTTGAAAGCTATTGAATAGTAGTGAGTTTTTAAACGGGACTTGAAAACCGAGAGGGAGGGGGCCTGTCTGACAAGCAGAGGTAACTCGTTCCAGAGTCTTGGTCCTGCTACAGACAAGGCCCAGTCACCTCTGCGCTTAAGATGAGTTCCTGGAACTGTGAGGAGCAATTGGTCCGCTGACCTCAGGGAGCGTGGTGGGACATATGGTTGTAGCAAATCAGAGAGATGGGGGGGGCGACACTGTTCAGTGATTTGTAGACATACATGAGTATTTTGAACTGGATTCGAAAGTGAATCTGTAACCAGTGCAGTGAGGCCAAAACTGGTGTAATGTGCTCTCTTTTGCCTGTACTGGTTAAAAATCGGGCTGCTGCATTCTGGACCAGTTGTAGTCGTGCAATGGAGGTCTGACTGATACCAAACAGGAACGAATTGCAGTAATCAAGCCTAGATGTAATGAGTGCATGTATTACGGTCTCCAGGTTCTTTTTGGACAACATGGGCTTCAGTTTAGACAGCCGCCTCAGTTGGAAGAAGCATGATTTCACAATCATGTTTACATGATTGTTAAGTTTCAGGGAAGGGTCCATTATCACGCCCAGATTAGTGACTCTTTGTTTTTCTGACAGGGTTAGAGTGGAAAGGTCGATGCAGTGGTTTGTGATCGTGTCGTTGGGAGAGAACAACATGACTTCAGACTTCTTTTCATTGAAACTTAAGACATTTAAAGCCATCCAGTCCCTGATGTCAGCCAGGCAGTTGAGCAGCGGTTGAATAGAGCATGTACCATTGTGTCTTAGGGGGAAGTAAATTTGACAGTCATCGGCATAGAAGTGGAAGGGCATGTTGTGTTTCCGGAAAATAGCACCAAGCGGCAGCAGGTATAAAGAGAATAGGAGGGGACCCAGTATGGACCCCTGCGGAACCCCCCATTTAAGCTCTGCCTCTGCGAAACTAAAATCCTTGATGGAGACACAAAAGGATCTGTCAGTGAGGTAAGATCTGAACTAATTGAGGGCTGATCCTGTGACGCCCACCCACTGCTCCAAACTTGCAATGAGGATCTCATGGCCGATGGTGTCAAAGGAGGCTGTGAGGTCCAACAGGACAAGCAGCACAGAATCACCGGTATCTGTGAATCAGAAGATGTTGTTAAAGACCTTCAGCAGGGCAGTTTCAGTGCTGTGGAGAGGTTTAAAGCCAGATTGGAAAAGCTCTAAGATGGCGTGATCCTCCAGGAAGCACTTCAACTGGGACTCAACTATTTTCTCCAGTACTTTAGAAACAAATGGGAATTTGGAGACAGGCCAGAAGTTGGAAATGACTGAGGGGTCAAGGTTTGTTTATTTCAGGAGAGGCTGGACAGCAGCATGTATAAAGGATTTTGGCACCACGCCAGTGGATAAACTACTGTTTACTATGGCAAGAATGGACGGACCTAGAGTAGGAAAAACCTCCTTTAGTAGTCAAGGGGGGACCACATCAAAGGGGGAGCCAGAAGGTTTCAAGCTGCACATGACCTGCTCTAGAGAATTTTAGGATTTAGATGTTTCTTTATTAGGTCTGAAACATATTATTATGATTATTATTATTACAAAGTATTATTATTATTATTATTATTATTATTATTGTTATTGTTATTGTTATTGTTATTATTATTATATTACATTTTATTTATTATAAAAGTTAAATTGCATGTTTATTCTAAACATTCCAGTGAATTTTGTTATTTTTACACACAGCAAGAAAAATATTTTAAGAATGTTTTCTAATTGAAAACAGTCATGATACTATATATTAGAAAATATTATAGGATTTTATTCACTTAGTAGTTGAAGTTCATAATGCTTTTTTAATATATATTTTTGATTAAGGTTATCTCAGGAGTGAGCATTATGTCAGTTTGTGTTTGTCAACTCAATGTTAAAAATGGCTTTTAAAAATATACGACTAAATGAATCTGTGGAAGTTTTTTTTTTTTTTTTTTTTAACCAGGTGTATTCATAATTTATTTATTCTTGATAACATAATGGCCAAAGAATCACCCCAAAATAAATCACTTTACAGACGTCTCTGTTTAGTGTTGGTTGCAGCTTGTGTTTCTGGTTGACACGTGAATATTTTCCAGAACAAAGAAATCAGTTCTTATGCTGTAATATTTCAATTTACAGCAACATCAACATAGTGTCAGCATCCATCCATGGAGTGTATTTACAAGTTTTAGAATTAGTGCTTTACAAGCAGTATGATGATGCAAAATAAAATGCCGCCGGCAGTTTAATAAGATTCAGAATAAGATTTGAGTTAGCGTTATATCTTATGAACTGTGATGCATCTTTTATAATAGTGCATAAAAATCATATAGATGTGTTGTTGTTTTTTAATTGACACCTCAGATCACATCATCGTTCAAAACGAGACCCTCCAGGCATTAAAAAATGTAATAAGTTCCTTAGATTTTATGTTCAGTAAAATATTTGAGCACATATTAATGCTTTGAACCCACGCCGCTCTGGGGCGCGTTGCCTGAAAGCGATCCACTCTGGGGTGTTCACCAGCCAAGATAATGTTGAGTTATGGAATTATGATCTGCTCCAAATTACAGTGAGGTCTTGTCAACATCCCTCAGTTTATCTTTTGAAAAGGGAAAACATTAGCGGGTTCTCCACAAATGCCTAAAGCTTTCTGATATTGTCAATTAACCACGGGGCGCAACAAGACTGACGGGGGCCTGATGTCGAAGGAATCAACAGGGACAATCAACACAGTACTGGTCCCCCTGCTCATGCAGCAGCTGCAGGCTTAAAGGATGGCAGTTATTGTGTATGACTCATTCAGACCTATTATGTGGATCTGCTCATTCTATAAGAAAATAAAAAATAAAAATCCCTGTCTGAATCCCACATTATGTTGAAATGACAGTCATGTGCATCAGTTTCCTACTCAAATGTACATTTGAGTGCAGTATGAGTGCTGTACAAAGCAAAGAGGCTGATGAAAGTAAAGAAAAATAAAAGGATTAGCACTTCTAAAAGCACCTCCTATAGATTAGCTAACGTTTTAAAGTGTTTGGCAGATCCATCTGTTGGCATTTGTATTATTTCTCAATAAATTATTTATGAAACTCCCATTTTTTTTTTTTTTTTTTTTGTGTGTTTGTTTAATGCACATTTCGGTCTCAAGTAGAATGAGTAAATATAAATATAAAACTTTTTAATTAGGTCAACGCATACATAAACCTTATGTTAGTTTACGCTGGTGTGCATTTCATTCAATATTTTTGGGCTTCAACAAGATTTTTTTTTTTTTATTGACTTGTGTTCCTAATTTTTCTAGGTGTTCATTCAAACCTTCTGTTTTTTTAGACTTTAGTTTTCTGTCGAGGAAGAGGAGAAAGAAAAAATAAGTGTCCAGTGCGATCTAAACACTTGGCATTTCAGTCTTTTATTTGTGTGTGTGCAGTGTATTTTTGCCTCCAAACACCCCTAAACGAAGGGGAAACTAAACGGGTAGACAAAAGAAGAAAAGTAATGTTCGGTCTAAACTGTCTACAACAGTATCTGAACATCATGTCCTTAAGAAGAGGACAAAATGTGTCAAAGAGCTGACACAGGACCTGAGAGATGCATTATCCTTCTGTTGATCCACCTGTATGCCAAGTTTTGAGACAATGGTTCTTCTGGGAATCAACTTGTTGGAATAAAACACTATTTTATGTCTGTCAAAGCAAGTTATCATGGACATTTTTTCCTTGATGCAGCTGCAGAAAGTGAAATAAACTCTTTCCAAGAGGTGTGTCGTTACAAAGCCCTTAAATGTATGAAAAATTAAAACTGGCTCGGTGCTTTTCTTGATCTAATTCCAGATCAGTCCAATTATCTATCAAAGTCAATGCAGTGAAATTCACTGTTTGTTACTAAAAATGGATCAAAATCATAGCCAAGGAAAATGACACATTGCATCATAAATTCACCTTCAGTCCCATGTCGTTTTATTTATTTATTTTTTTCCTCAGTTGCTCTCGTGCAAGACGGACACATTTCTCCCTCTCCTGTCTTCCTCCTGCCTTTTTGTTCTCTGTCTTGTGTATCGGAGCTCAAGAAAAGCTCTGTCCATCGCCCACACCCCCCAAACCCCCAAGAACTTCTGTGAAGGCTTATCAAAGCTGTACCAACTGACACCAACATCTTAACAGGACTATGGTGATATCTTGAAGTGATTCACAGACAAATCTCACCGTCTTGTCGTCAAATGCATATTTGTGGTTATAAATGTGCTTGGTGGTAAAGTTTTTTTTTATCTCTTAAATCATGTTCTGATAAGGACAAGGTGTGAAGGGATCTTTTTTGTAATGCCATTATCCACTCCTCATGGCCTTTTCCCCTTTTCCTATCTAAAAGAATAAGGGGCCGTGCTCTCAGGAGCAGCAGCAACGTGCACTCCGCCCATCTTTCGGACGACTCTCACTGTATTTCGGTAAAATTATAATGAAGCTTATTCTGATTCCGATGTTTATAGCATGCAGTGCTGAGGGCTACATGGTGAGGAAAAACTTTTTTTTTTTATAGAAACCTTCAGCCTCCAACAGAATCAGACACACAGAGGGAG